CCTCAAAAAAAAATTTAAAAACCAAACACTACCATATGATCCAGCAATCTCTCTTCTGGGTATATATTTTAAAATGAAATCTCTTTGTCAAAGAGATATTGCACCATCATATTCATTGCAGCATTCTTCACAACACCCAAGTTGTGGATACAATCTAAGTGCCCATTTATGGACGGATGGCTAAAGAATATGCATTTGGGGTTGCTGTTATAACCTCCTTATGGGTGTCTTTGAATCAGTTCTTGCCTGTGACAGACCTTGTCTGCACACTGAAGCCTTAAAAAGGTATCCAAATGTATTTAAGAACTATATAAACACAAACAGATAAAAGATAACAAGTGTGTGTATATTTCTTAAACACATCTGGACTTTTATTTGCAGGATGCACTCTGTAGAATGGATCTGAAATAGGTAGGAATTATGCTACAAGATACACAAAGGCATTCTTTCAGTCACCTAAATCAGACATAACATTGAGTTAGACCGAGGTAACAACAGTGGAGATGGAGAAATCCAAATAGAGTACATGCATATCTAAATAAATGAAACTGAAAGAATTTGGCAGGATGAGGAAGAAACTATTTTCAAGGCAGATAAGTAATATAGCACAGAGCCTGAGAGTATGAGCTCTAAAGCAGGACTGCATGGTTTCAAAACCCATATCTGCCTTTTACAGGCTCTGTGACCTTTGGAATTCACTTAACCTCTCTGTGTCTCATGTCTTCATCTGTAAAATAACACCAGTAAGACTTACCTCACTGTATTATAAGACTTACATGAAGTAAAACATTTAACTAATTTTAACTTAGGCCAGTGTTTATTATATCCTAAGTACACTACAAGTGTTCGTTATTACGGTGGTGGTGATGCCATCAACCTATAGGAGTGATTCCAAAGAACTAGCTTTGGGAAAGAAGGTAATGAGTTTGGTTTTGAACATTGTTAGACTGGAGTTTTATTTAAGGCATTCATATTATGTTGAATAAGCAGTTGGATATATGAGTCTAGATGAAGGAGTCTGAACTGAAGACAGAAGTTTGGTGATCTGGTATATGAATATTCATTGTATCAATAAAAAATAAGAGTTTTTTTTTTAAAGGAGAAACATTAGAGTGAGGAGGGACAAGGGCCTGCAATGGTTTCAAGAAACTTCGGTTTTTAAGAAGGGTAAAGGCAAAGAAATTGGCAAGGGAGACAAAAAAACAATCAGAGATATAAAAGAAAAACAGAAAAGTGAACTATCACAGAAACTCAGAGCAAAGGTTTTTTCAGTAGGAAGGAGTGATTAAATCTTTCAGCTGCTGCTGAGAGGTCTAAAAGTTGAGACTGGAAATTACCTATTGGGTTTAGCAAGGAGAAAGTTACAGATAGTCATAGGAAGTGCATTTTGGGTGACACAAGGAGACAGAAACCAAGTTGAAGTGGTTAAGGAAATGGAGTCAGTGAATATAGACAACTTTTTTGAGTGGTTTCACTGTGGAAATGGAGATGAGGAGGTAAGGCAATAGTATGATTGAGAGGAGGGTTAAGAAGTTCTTGTTTTTATTCTGTAAAGATAGCTAGAGAAAGATTAAATGTTGATGAAAATTCCAGAGGTGTGTAGTAGAAGGTTTCTGAGAAGATCCAGAAACAAGAAGTTGGAGGAAAGATATTGACTTTAGTAAGTATATAGAGAACAGGGAGAAGGTGGGAGCAGGTGCAAGCAGGTTTCTACATTTTACATGGATATCATTGTCTGGTGGACTTTCTTTTCTCTGAGAATTAGGAGAAAAAACTACCTGCAAAGAACGAAAACAAGCATTGAAAAAGAGGTATAAAGAGAGTACAGGAGGTTTTAATTTTTTTGTGTGTGTGTGTGCATAGACAGGTAGAGTAATTTGGTCAGAGACACGCTGTAGGGTAGAGGAGCAGCATGATTCAGGAGGGGACGTTTGTGTTCACGAATGTAAGGAATCCAATCGGCTCTACCATGTGTGTAATTTTTAGCAACAGTGACTAGCTGCTCAAAGGCAGGCATGATGTGGAGAGAGTGAATGGTTAGGTTCATCAAAAGTTGGAATTTTGATAAATAACACCATTTCAAGAAAGACAAGAAAGAGAGTTTTGACTTTTGTTAAGAAAATTATTGAAATGGTTGACCATGGAATCTAAACTGAATAAGGAAGTAAAGAAAGGAGAGGACTAGTCCACTGAGAATCACAAATTGCTTCAGTGACAGACTTACCAACGAAGGACTATAGGAATAAAGGTAATTAAACAGTTAAGTTAGAAGAACTTTGGTAAGTGTGACAATTTATTGGTAAAATGAAACTCTGTCACTGAGTAACTCTAATATCAAGCACACACCATAGGTATTCCTGCATTCCACTTAAACAGGGCTTGCAAGTGAGAGAAACACAAACGTGTCAGACTCTAAATTTAGTGATAAAAATGAGAAGGCTGAGAATGTTGACTTATGGAGAGAGTTGGAGTAAGTCTCCACCAGGGAGGAGGGAAGAGCCTTCTACTTACTATAGTGAGATACCTACTGAGAAACCACTACTTGGAGAACTTGCTATCTATCCCTAGACTTAGAGGATGCTAATGGACACACTTGAAAAATTAGAGAGTGAAAGATCAATGTGGTACATATACATGATGGAATACTATGCAGCCATAAAAAAGAACAAAATCATGAATTTCGCAGCAACCTGGATGGAACTAGAGTCTATAATACTGTGTGACCTCTCACAGAAACAAAGATCTGAGTATCACATGTTCTCACTCATATAATGGACCTTGAACATCCAATGTAATACTATAAGAAAATGACTGACAGTACTGGGAAACTATGGAGGGGGGATGGGATTAACAGTAGCAAATATCTGTCTGGTGATGGGGAAACACCTCTTATCAACAGGGTGCCTGAATGAAATGTAATTGTACACCTAACCCTTAACTGTACCCCACAAAACCATAATAAAAATATTGATTAATAAAAAAAAAGTATACAAAAAAAAAGAAAGATCATCGTTGGATTTACTTGCTCAATGGAAGTTCGGCTGCACTTTCTCTGATAACAGGGCAGAAGTGCCTGTTTCCCTGGGATCAAGTGTAGGCAACATGTGGAAGGAGTAGCATTTGGGGTCAATTGAAAGGTAACTTCCTCCAAGAGAGCTTTTTTTTTTAATGTTGGTCTCAGCATAAAGAAACCAAATGGGTTATCACATTCAGAAGTCACAAGTGTGTCATAAGCAACCAGGTGGAAGAGATGCATACTGTGCAGAAAAAGCAACAATCTGGTGTTCTTATCTGGGTGATGGGAGTCTCATAAAAACCCATGAAAGTACCTGTCAGATGGAGTCATTTTGAACTCTCATCAAACCTGGAGAGTTCTAATGTCATATCTTAATATACGTCTCCTAATCCTTATTACTCTTAATCCTTATGACTCCTCTCTGATCCTGTCCTGCCCTGACACCTCAAATATGGAGGGTTTAGACAATGAACTTAGCAAGTGGTGAGAAGAATTGAAACTAGGAGAAAGGGAGAAAGCCAAACTCACAAAGCTCCTTCCAACTATTGGCTTTCAAGTAGGCCTGATCTAGGGGAGAAGAGAATGTTTCACTTTAAATAAAGTTGTAGCTTTTCTTTTCAAAAGGGGAAATATTCATTTCAACTACTGAAAAGAAGCTGCTTTTTTGATTAAGTATGACTGAAAAACTAGTAAACGCAATGTCCCGCCAAAATTATTGGCTTGTCCTTTGATTTCACTGTAGAAACAGCAAGAATCAAAATAACAAAGTGCATATACATGGGTCATGGGTGAAAGATAGAATGAAGTTGCCTTTGGCTTGTATCTTAGGAAGCCCTACTTTGAAACAAAACATTTACGTTTGGAATAGTGATTTCCCAGGTGGAACTATTGGAGGATGTACCACTGCCCAAGCTGTAACTGTGGGAGTGGTTGACTGAGGTGGAACAGAATTGAAAGTCTTTGGCATTGAGGTCAAAAATCTGTGAGTCCAGGCTATTTGAAAGCATTATTTGTGAACACGGTATCATCATCCAGATGCTGACAGCACTTTGGGTATGAAAGATGATTGTGTGCCCAGTGCAAACGTTATCTAAAATGACAGCTGTGGGTGACCAGCAGACCAGAATATGATGGTCAAAAGAGGGAGGAGAGAAAGTGGTATCCAAATTTCATAACTCTTTTAAAAAACCGATTTATTCTTGCGTGAGTAGAGGATTAGCATTCTAGAAGAAATGGGGAGAGGGCAAGAAGGACACTGATTCCATCTCTCAATGCTAAGGTATACAGGGTTGGAAAAATTCGACTTCAGGAGGGGCATCTTTGAGGGACTATCCATCAAGACACCAAGGTGTGTACCATCAATATCAGCAGAAAAACAGGGGAAAACTTTAGGATTAGTGGTGAGCAGGGATGGCATGAGGGAAGAGTGAGGTGAGGGACAAGAAAGATGGATGAGGGATGAGTAGAATTATGTTTGTAAAATATTCAGTGGTTTCAGTTGAAATATTTTTATTGTTGCATTTCTATCAATGGAACAATAAATGCCATGTTAGTCAGCTTAGGTCGCCACAACAAAATACCATAGACTGGGTGATTTAAACTACAAAACTTTATATCTCATAATCCTGGAAAGTAACTCAAAGTCCGGCAGGGTTGATGTCTGGTGAGGACTGTCTCTTGGGGTTGCAAAGTCACATTTTTCCCGTGTCCTCACATGGCAGAGAGAAATCAAGTACTCAAATGACTCCTCTTATAAGGGTATAATCCCATCAGACCAAGGTTACATCATCCTGATCTTGTGTAACTTTAATTACCTTCCAAAGGACCCATCTCCAAATACCATCTCATCAGGAGTTAGAGCTTCAGCATATGAATTGGTGGGGCAGAGAAACACAAGCATTCAGTCCAAACAAATGCTATTACTGCTTATTTTGACCACAAAGATTGCTGCTCTCAAGGTACTTTTTTTGTTGTTATTGAACAGAACTCAGGCACAGGAACTAAATATCGAACAAAGAAAGACCACATGATGTGTAAACTTATGGGTTTGTGCATTGCTTACTCTTCTACCATTGGTGGACTCACAACGATCACTGGGACCTCCACCAACTTGATATTCACTGAGCATTTCAATACGTAAGTAACATTACTGTATTGATGGTTTAACAAATAGGCAGCATGTAAATTATAACAGTGATTCTTACCTGATTGAAAGAGCTCAATGACAGAGATGCTATGTTAACTCTTGTTTCGGATCAGGACATCTAGAGGTCTAGAGACCTTGCTTTGTACTGAGAATTAAATAGCCAGGACATAGTGAATTAACCTATGGCTACAGAGTTCCCAGGTCAACTCAGAGGAGATAACTCTTGGCTGAACACTCTAATGAAAAAGATAATTTAATTTTTATTGCACATAGTCAGAGTGAAAAAAATTGTATTCATGGGACAATTTCTGTAAGGCTTAGGGATTGGCCTTTGAACTTGAATAATGAGTGATGAACATAGGTACTAATTATGGAAAGTTTGACTTTGGAATTCAAAAAAAATTTGAAAGACTGAACAATTACAATACATGTTAGTAATAAAGTATCCTATAGACAGAAATTTGACTCCACAAATAAGCTTGAAACTGCAATGACAATTTGTTGCAGACAATGGGGAACCTGTGGATTCAACGGGTAGAGCATTTAGGTTTAAATTCCACAATTTGCGGTTACTTACTTCATCAATTTAAACAAAAGAAAAATACGTGATTTTCCCGAGACTTAATTTTTACATATACGAAATTGTCACAGTTCACAGGGCAATTGTGAGAATTAAATGAGGTAAATTATGTAAAAATATTTTGCATTGTTTAAGTACTATTGAAACAATAGTTTGAAAGTCTATTCTTTTATATGAGATTGCAGACTGGTTTTATTAAATTTACAAAAATAGTAACTTTGTTTTTTGACATTTAGGTAGGGAGATAGAGTGCTATATAATGAATCCTAATCACTTACTTTGCATGCATTATAGTGTATACATAGCCTATGTATTCTTGCTGTGAAGATGATATATAACTGATTAAATGCATAGTCCCTGGAATTAAAATATCTGTCTTCAAGTTCCAGATCTTCCATTTGCTAGCTAGGTGACTTTGTCAATTACGTGAGTTCTCTTAGAGTTTCAAGGAGGTGGGCAGCATTGAAAAACCCAGAACAGGATTTATGGTCACAGAAAAATTAGGGTTCAGAGGCAGGAAAACTACACTCTAGGAAATATATTCACAAATCTGTGGACTTTCTGAAATTATTTGAAAAATGTGCATGCATAGATTCTTCAAGAACTCCAAGACTCAAAGGATGTTCATCTCCATTCTAGAAGCAATGGGAACTGTGCACAAACACTGGTATAGACATGTAGCATCAATATTATACATACTTCCCTGTGTAGAGATCATTTCTACCAATATACATCTATCATGTATAGTCTAATTACTGACTTAGAAATAAACCTTTACAGGATTCTTGGTTTATAAATGAGTCTTCTAAAATTTACATTGCCAGGAAGAATTTATTCAATGTGTCCCCTAATTCAAGGCAGAAAGTGTACCTGATCCCTTTCTCAAAGTTAGACTTATATCCTTTCTCATGAATTCATAAGGAAAGAGATTCAACATCTTGGCCCCCTCTGTGAATTTATTTTTCTTATAGTTCAGTCAAATTCTTATGGTTTTATCTTTGTTAATATGGTTTCCATCATTCCTATGACATTATTTGATACAGTTGAAGTGATTTATGTTGAGTTTGCTTTTAGTCTTTGTGTTCTTGCACAGTATATCAATCAAATTTTCTATTTTGTTTAACTTTTACCTTGACTCTTTGTATGCATTAATCCATTTGTAATGATAGACTGAGAGCATTGTAGTCCTTTAAGCAAAATGTCTTGGTAACAACTTTCCATAACTGTCTAATCTTTTACTTCTCCCAGTCATGAGAAATTGGCCAAAAAGTCTTTTAAATTTACAGTATGCTTAAAATGTACTTTGAAATGTAGTGATTTTTTTTCTTCAAAAGGATGCCTTTACATTAGAAATTATATGCAAACCAGAAAAAAAGAATGTGAGTAATCCTTTTTTGATATGAAATACTGGGAAAATAGAAAAAAAAATCTCATGTGAAAAATATAATTGGTAATATTAAATAAGCTAGATATTTAATGAACTTTTCCTTAAATGTTGTCCCTACCAAATCAATAATACCCCAAAGCAACAATAGAATAGAATGCATCCAGTTTTATTGGTATATGCTATGGAAGCTTAAAATTGGCAAAAATAAATAAATAAATAAATATTCTTTGTTCAGATGTTTGGGACTAAAGAGAAAAAACCCTTTTTCTACATATCCATTACAATCATGCCACCTTTTCCTCTTGATACTAGTTGCCATCTTTTGGAGGAATACCAATGATAATTTTGAACAATTTTATTTTGTATCTCTCCCAACTTTAAAGGGTGCATGAAACCTCAGAGTTAATGGCTTCATACCATTGACATTTACACAGAGGAACCACCTTATCAATAAACTATTGGAGGGAGAGATTGTATAACATATTTTGAAGAACTATCTATTTAATATAAATATAGAAGTGTTTTTATCCATCTAGTATATGCATATTTATGAATTGTTTTTATTTCAAAGCTCGTTAGATATATGTCTATGGATAGTAGTAATATTTATAATGCCTTTTGTTCTCGTTTTTACACAAAGAAAAGAAAAACATTCTGAGAAAGGTAAAAGTTATTTAGCACAAATAAAAGAAGACCTCCTTCAATCATCAATCGGCAAACATTTGCTGAGGACTGAAAATATGGCTTGCACTGCTTTAAATTATATTGGAGAATGCAAAAAAAATTCTTCTGGGAAGGATAATTTACCTAGTTGTCTAGACAAAACATACATGAAAATCATGAAAATTTAAAAACATTATAGCATTTGTTTTTTGACATATAGGTAGGACAGTAGAGTGCTATATATTGAGCCCTTGTTAGATAATTTACATGCTCTATAGTGGACACATGTCCTATGTATCCTTGCTGTGAAAGTGGTATATAACAATATATAAACATATTATCTGGAGTTAAAATATCTGTTATCAAATTCCAGATCTCCCATTCACCACCTAGGTGATTTTGACAAGTACTTAAGCCCTCTAAACCTGTTTCTTTTCTTTAAAAATGAGTAAAATAATATGATATCTCTCTTAGAGGGCTGATTTGATTTTTACATAAAATAAGCAGCACTTTGTGCCTAGCACAACACAGGTGCTCAGTAAATGTTGGTCATTATTATTGCTAGAGTTGAGAAAGTTGAGGTTCCAGTTAACAGATTTAAGACCAAACCAAAGTCAGTAAGACCTCCTAAGGTTGCCTCCTTAAAAAGTCACCTCCCTAGAAACAGAAATAAAGGTATGTCCAAAAAGAGAGTTGTAACTATGTTCAACATCCTTGATCACTAGATAAAATTTGTCCACACAACTTGAAATAATTTTTAAAGGGGTAAATACTATGTTTATGGAGAAAATGAATGAAATAACTCATAAAATCAAAGTAAAAGTCTGTAACAGGTTTTTTTAAAAAGAGGTGAAATCACCTGTGCACGTTTTGCACAGTTTAGAATAGCAGTATGCAGATTGATTGGTGCTATAAAATTCTGGAGACAGAAAACTAATTAGGAGTCTGTGATCAAAGTGCTGACAATGATGAAAAGCAGAACTAGGCTAGTTGTAAAGTGATGGGAGAATTTAGACTCAAGACACTGTGAAGTCAGAAGGTCATGAGTAATTAGGTGTAAGGATTTAAGGGCAAGGAAGGTTAGCGCAACTCCAGGGACTTTTGTCCATAAGGCTAGATAGATAGTGAAGCCATGAACTTCCTGAGAAGACATGAGAAAGTGCAGGTTTACTGAAGAAATTAATAAATTTTCATTTGGATACATTAAAATACCCTGCTAGAAGCCAACTCATAAAGATATTTTTAGCAGGTATTTGCAAATGCACTGTTTGAGTTAGTCATAAATTTGGGAGTCTATGTAAAAGTTAAATAAATATGTACAAATTAAATGTTTGAATGGGAAATGACCACATAGGAGAAAAAAGTTAAAGGAACAGAGACGTGTATAGACTCTTAGAAAATATTGACAATCAAGGTAGGAGAAGCATCAGGAGCATCAGGAGCATGTGGTGCTTTGAAAGCCAAAGCAGAAGATCATTTTCAAAATGAAGGATAAGTCAGGGGCACATACAGTGGTAGATTTTCAGCAGGCATTTAGGGTCAAGTAGGGTGATGACTGAGAAAAAGCCTTTGTTCCTCATCAGTGTTCTCCAAGAAGGTAGTTTCAGTGGAATAGTGGGGAATTAATAGAATTCAGACTAAAAAGGTTTAAGGACTGATCATGTAGTTGGAAGGGGAAGACAGCAAGCTTAAATGATTCTTTATAGTTTGGTAAAGAACAGAAGAAAATAATAAGCATGATAGCATCAGAGACAGAGCCTTCTTTTAGAACAAGGGTGAGATGTTACTTTGGTTTTACACTGGAGACAGGCTCATGAGGTTTTTAAAAAAGAGAGTATTGATCAGAATAAAGAGGCAAGTGAAACTAGAAGCAAGAGTGAAGCTGTGAGTCTAGAAAAAGTACGTATCCTCTTCAGTGATTCAGTGAGGGAAGAAGAGAACAAGTGAAGACAGAAATTTTAAATCATGTGTACAAATCCTTCATTTCATAGTTGAGAAAAGTGAGACTCAGAGAGAATCTCAAGCAATGGTTTAGAGCAGGGAGTGTCCAACCTTTTGGCTTCCCTCGGCTGTCTCAAATATAGAGACATTGTCTTGGGCTGTACATAAATTATAGAATATAGTTAGTGTGTATACATTGTAAGACTTCTTTTATTTTTTAATATTTTCATTTTAATGAGTAGAAAAATGAGAACAATCTAAAACTATTGGGAAATTTGAGTTTGTTTTTGTAAAACTAATCTCTCAATGTCTGATTCAATGGAAGTGGTCACAATTCTTAGTGAGTTCTCAAAGTGCTTGTCAGAAATGTTTGTTCAAATTTTGCTCTTCATATGCTTCATAATTGAAAATAGTTGCTC